TATTGTTTGTGCCAGAAGGGATATTGATTTTCTATAAAAATAAGAAAACAAGAGGCACCAAGGGGCTGCAGAAGGTCAGCGTGGGCTGGGGAAGGAGGAGACAGGTCTAGCACTCCATCTCTGTCACTTGCCTTCCAAGACAAGGGACTATTTTCTTTCCTGTGAGACTGGCCTCTAATCCATCACCTGAGGAAGGCTCCTGACCTGACTTCAGGCCGTCACCCAACCAACCTGCTCATAAAAGGACTAAACTATAATCCAGAGGAACACAATGTGCTGCCGCAGAGCAAAGAAACCCAGGCTTAGCGCCATCACTGAATGAGTAAGTGATATTCAGAGAATCTGAATGAAGACCGAAAGGAAGTAATTTTATAGGATTTGTAAAATCTCAGAGTATTAACTCCCATAAATACACAGAAAACATGACCTTACACAGCATAAATAAAACTATAATATCACACCCATTTTTAAATCTTCACAGTTCTTGGCTGGAACACAACTGAAGAACAGAGAAAGAAAAGCAGAAACAGCAGCAAGGCTTAAAATTGTTAGCAATTTTAAGTTGTGAGTAATAAGCAAATTTAAGTAAACTAGAAATAAAGCCAATGAACATATATAACCAAATCCAAAACACTATCCACAGACTAGGCTAAGGTTAATAATCAACTTCTTATCTCAGTAATTTTACAAGGTGGATCAAGGTTAGTAAACTTGCACGACTGATGGTAAGAACCCTTAACATGACTGACAGGAAGTAAAGTTCAACACTTTGATCTCTATCTGATTGAACCATGGCACAGCCAAGCAGCTTCATTAAATAATAGCCACAGGGATTCTTGAAAGGACTTCTTTTTAAAAAGGAGGTAGGAAAATTTTGACATAATCAACTCGCCAACAAGGAGTAAAATACAAATCGTAACTATTTTCTATTTGCAGTCTAATGTTAGCCCTGTTTATAGAACATGCTTAATACCTGAGGGTGGGGTTTGAATGAGGCTCAGTTTCAGAGTACCTTCCCACCACGTACAAAGCTCTGAGTTCAATCCCCAACACCACAGCAAAACAAATTACAAGCCACAAGTCTATTTGCAGCATTAGGAAGCTGAGGCAGGAGAATTGCCGAGTTGAAGGTCATCCTGAGGTAAAAACCCTATCCTAAATAATAATATAGTAATAATGAGTAAAAAGGTAAAAGTAAGTAACAATTAAGAGCAGCTTGAAACTGAAACATTTTATTCCACTTCGCTATTGAGGAAAAGTTTGGACAGACTCTGATAAGAGGATAAAGCACACTTCTCTTGACAGAATGTATTGGGGGGAGGAGGCATTTCTATTTATAACTACAGATAAATGGAGACCAGTCAAGGAGTGATTTAACATTCCTTTAAAATTTTGATTCTACTTATTTATTTTTTAAAACAGAGTATTGTATGGCCCAGGCTGGTCTCAAGCTCATTAAGTAGCTGAGACTGATCTTGAACCTCTGATCTTCCTGCCTCCACTTCCCAACTGCTGAGACTACAAGAATGTGCCACCATGTGTAGCAATTCTATTAGAACATTTCTAATTGCATTTCTTTTTTTTTTCTAATTGCATTTCTTAGTGCATGTCTATTACCATTACCATAAACCTACCCCCTAGTTTTCCTGATAAAGAAACTGATAAATAAAAAGGGAATTATTTACAGTTTGGCCAAAATCAGGGAGAGAAAAACTCCACTCCCTTCCCATAACAGCATTACCATCTAGGATGAAATAACCCTGGAAATATACCCGTTGTGAACTGTGAGGTAAGCTGTCTAGACCTTGTGACATTTCTTCCTGGCCCCTACTAGGATTTTAGCCTCTCCCTGCCCCAGCATGGGACTCCTGGGAAAATTTCAATTCTTTTGGGTTCATTGTTTCAATAATGTTAACAGTGGGCAGGGAGGGCACAGGGTTCTCTCCTTTTTTAAAGGGTGTGTGTGTATCCAGAAGAGTATTGGATTCCCTTAGAGCTGGAATTACAGGTACGTCACCCAACGTGGATGCTGAGAACTGATCTCAAGTCTTTTTGAGAACAAGTGCCTTTGATTGCTGAGCCTTTATCCAGCCTCCACGAGGGTCTCCTTTTAGAATGCCTCCGATGTCACACTGCCACTTCACCCATTATTTCTTCAGTGACAAGGACTTCGGCATCCCTATCACCACAAGCCTCTGAAGTCCTGGCCCGGGAAGCCCACAGTGAGAGCCAGGTCTCCTCAATGTGAAAACAAGAAGAATTACACAAGAAATCCTGCCGACTTCAGTTCCTCCTGGCTCTCGGATTAGAACTTAGAGCCTGAAAGCCTGGAGGAGGAAGGGGCAGAAGACAGAAGCACCACGGCTGGACCACAGGCCCTGTGCTGGGAGCTGTGCTTAGAGAAGACAGTGACAGTCTCTAGCACACACAATGCCTTCAGTTTAACAAGAAATTCTGGGAAGAAAAAGACAAAGCAACATTCAAAAGGGCCATTCTAATTCTGCATTCTCAATTGTAAGAGTCTAAGATGTAGGCTTGATCTTACAGCTAACTTGAATACCTCAACACAAGGTTTCAGGATTATAAAAGGTTACAAGTTAGCTAACCAATTCTTTTTTGATTAAAAATAGTATGAGTATGGGAGAAGAGTACCTTTATAATCCAAAACTACATATACATTGGATAAATAGGTCTTAGAGAGAATCAAACTTAGAAGAAAATTACTAGAGTCAAATTGTGAACCTGTATCAACACAGCTGAAGATGCTGGCAAAATACACAGGTAGTAAGACAACATTTGAAAGTCAAATTAAAATCCATGCAGAACAGGAGGAAGCACACAGACCTACATAGCTTGTCCTGTTACCAACACAGTCTTGCTTGGTGGACTTTAGCTTGATGTCTTTGAGGGTGGAAGCTTCTGAAGAACAAGGTCCTAAGAAAGGTTACTTGTGCTACAGCTGCAAAACGTAACAGGCAGCCAAACCTGGTGAAATATGAGCTTGTAAATCAGGTTTGACTCTCAGTCTAGACACTAGGTGACCCTGGCAAATTACTCAAACTCTACACCTAGTTTTCTCTTCTAAAAATACAAACAATGAGGTTCTATCATATAGCAGAATAGGGAATAATAAGAATATCCAGCAGGTGTGCAGTACAGTGCCTACCACACAGATTACTTAGCAAACCTGTAGTGTTCAACCCACCTAATGGCCACCACTGACAGCACCTGAGAGGATACAGGAAGAGAGGTAGGAACATGCCAGAGCTGCAGAGAGCCACAAAGAACTGCCCCAGACACCAAAGGCACCCTCACAGAGAGGTCACATCTTAACTCTTGTAATAATATTAAAGCATCGAGCCGCCAAGTATCCATGCTTTCAGGGTGATCTGACATGGAGAAAAGTGAGTTATCAAAACTACACTGACATCTTAAACATACAACCATCAGAGTACTTTATCACAGGTGATAAAGATTAAAGGAATCCACATTGTTATTTTCGGAGCCACTATATATGCATACGACTTGACTGTCTGCCATCAGAGACACTCAAGGACTGACAAGATGGCTCGGTGAGAAGACGAGAGCACCTGCTGCCGAGCTGATGCCCTGAGCACTCGCTCTCTCTCTCTCTCTCTCTCTCTCTCTCTCTCTCTCTCTCTCTCTCTCTCTCTCTCTCTCTCGTGTGTGTGTGTGTGTGTCTGTCTGTCTGTCTCCCTCTCTCCCTCCTCCGAGCTGATGCCCTGAGCGCACTCTCGCTCTCTCTGTGTGTGTGTGTGTGTGTGTGTGTGTCTGTCTGTCTGTCTGTCTGTCTGTCTGTCTGTCTCCCTCTCTGAGAAAGGCAGGCAGGCACTGAAGCATCTGATGGAATGACTTGGGTAAAGGGCTCACTGAGCAAGCATGGGGACTTGACTAGACCCCTAACACCCACATAAAAGCTAGGCACAGCAGTGCACGTCTGCAATCTCATTGAGAGCTGAGACAGGTGGATCCCCAGGGCTTGCTGGGCACCTAGTCAAGCCAATTGATGAGCTCTGGGTTCAATGACAGACAATTCCCCAAAACAAGGAGAAAACAGAGAAAAACACACACCATCCACCTTGGGCCTCCACATGCACACACGTACACATGCACACACACAAAGAAATACACTCAATACAGTCAAATTATAACTAGCAGGAAACATAATTATAGCCCCAAAGCATATAAAGCAAAGTTATGCTTTGTTTTTGTTTTTTGTTTTTTTTTTTTGTTTTTTGTTTTTTTTTTTTGAGACAGGGTTTCTCTGTGTAACAGAGCTGGAACTTGCTCTGTAGACCAGGCTGGCCTGGAAATCACAGAGATCTTCCTGCCTCTTCCTCCCCAGAGCTGGAATTAAAGGTGTGTGCCACCGCACCTGGATCAAGCCACAATTCTTTTTTTTTTTCCCCCTTGGTTTTTTGAGACAGGGTCTCTGTATAACATGCGCAACAGTCCTAGTTATCCTAGAACTGGCTCAGTAGACCAGGCTGGCCTTGAGCTCCCAGAGATTTGCCTGCCTCTGCCTCCCAAGTGATGGTAATAAAGGTGTGTGCCACCACTGTAATTCTTAAATAGCACGCAAAGCTTGCATTTATTTAAAAACTGCTTAGATCTGGCACCTGCATGTCTTCTCTGTCACAACTGTCAATACCAGCCCTGCTGGTTCTAAATAACAGTAGCTTTTATGAACTGAATGGTATAAAAAACAGCAAATTATTTTTAAAGGCAAATTCTTGGTTATGCATTTAAAGCGCATGTTTCAAATTATTTTTAGGATAAAATTATTTCTGTTACAACCTTCTCGATGTAGTGAAATAGATTCATGAATGACACCTTGTAACGCAGACACCAACTACCAGCTGACTACAGGAAGGCTACAAAGGCAACACTAGCATGACTAGCTTAGAAGGGAGTGGAGGGCACTGCCCCTCAGGCAGAGTTAACCAGGGAAAGCTTTGCTTCAGGAAGGGAGACCTCACCATTCTGACATGTTCTCGTCGGAGCCTTGCTTCTGCTCCTCGGCTTCACACTCCATCCTTTCCTTCCTCCCTGGTTTGCTTAGGAAAGTCCTAGTCTCTGCTGCTTCACACAGCCCATGGCCTGATGAGGTCCAGGGAGTGTTCTCCTTCCAGCGTGACAAACGCTGCTTCTTGGCAGACTTGAACCTGCAGCCTCTCTCATAGCTCCAGTCGGACACTTTCAGCTTCTGCTGAAGGCTGGCAGCCACCTCTGACGTCACTCTCTTCACCTTCCTCCGGCGCCTGAGCGGTCGGCAAGGTGCGTTTTCCGTGAAGGAGTCAGATTCATGCCAAGTATGTTGCTTACTCCTCATGATGGCACTGAGAGCTGGGTGCCGTTTGGTCACCACTGTGTCATCAGAGTCACTGAAATTGGTGAGCGGGGCCACTTCTCGGCAGTCCTTGGTGGCCTCATCCAGACTTGACTCTGAGGCCTCGCTGAAGCAGCAGGCATGCTCAGCCAGGTGAGAGAAGTCAGACCTGCGCTTCCGGCCCCTGCGCTTCCGAAAGCTGCCGCCTCTGCTGCCTGGGGCTCAGGGTCATCTCCTCCCACAGCTCACCAAGCTTATTCTGCTCGGATGTCTGCTCCAAGGCTGAGGCTAAGTCATGTACCAGCTCATCCATGAGGCCACATCTGCCAAAAAAGGGGGGGGGGGGGGGGAGAAAAGCTTGGACAAACAGACAGACCTGCTGTTTTCCAGTAATTTTATAGAGCACATAACGGCATTGTGGCTCCCTGCCTGGCTACAGAAAATAGACTCCTTTTATCCAGCTGCACGTATCACTGTTTCTAACAGCCAGGCACCCTTAAGCCACAAATATAAGGCGTCTGACCCTTGTCAAATACCTGAAATCAACATATTCAATGGCTCACCAGATGACAACCGGGACATTAGCAAAAACAAACAGAACTTCCTCTTTTCTCCAATTAAATGAGAAAGTGTCTCCCCAGAAAGGAATAGCGGAACAGCACATCACAATTTCATCACTATGGTAGAGCGAAGGGAGCACCAGACAGGGTCCAGTCACAATAGAGGGCTAGCCAGTAGCCTGGGTTACCTGCTAAAAGTGCTTGTGGTAGGGCGGAGACAAAGGTCTGAGTGACAGCTAGTGGGAAGGCTTCGCAGTGTTCATCTGTGGCTACCCAAGTAGGTACTCAGAATGAGGGAAAAAAGAAAGCCCACATCTGGAGCTACCAGGTGCCAAACGCCACCTGGACGTTACTAGATGGAGAATACTGTAAAATAGACAGTTTTTACTATCATTATTATGGTAGTATAGGACTTTGAGACTACTCGTGCTGCTCACCCCAATTATGTGCTTTAGTGCCAGCCGCACTGAAGCAGGATCATGAAACTCAAATGGATATGCAGGATAGAGCCTCTAAAATTTCTGGCTGGCAGAGGCAACCCTTTCAAGGCATGAGTAGCAAAGGCAATTTTCGAATCTTCCTTTTCCAAAGAAATGTCTAATACAATCTGTACAACACCTAAACTTGGTATACTAAAATAGCGCTTTCTCCCCCAGCTCTAGGTATGCGCAAAGTACATCTCAGCCATAATTAGAGCTTAAAGCTGAGCTCAGACCAACATCCCGTCATGCAATTCACATTTTGCAAAGGGCTTTCTAAAGACTGTTCTCACAGGGTCCCTATGTCAACAAATCCAAAGGCAGGAAAGTATGGTTTACATGTCACGCCTGTGAAAGCAATGGGGCCACCTAACTCCAAAAACTACCCACCCAAACAAACTTCCTCAGAGTGTCAAAAGCCTTACACATAAAAAGAGCACTTCCCTTTAGCAACCGGTAGTAGTTTCAAATGCCAAGACTGGGGTTTGGAAGACAACTGTCCGTAAGCCTAAAGCAGATAAATAAGAGGAACGGCAAATCTAAGTCTCTAACAAAGAACGGCAGCTTTGACACTCAGGCAGAACTGCACAAACTTTAATGTGGGGCCAGTGTAGCAAAAAGTGTCCTCAAACGCTGGCGCAGAACCCTTGCGTCTCAAAGGGGACAGAGAGAGAGAAGCCTGGTACACCCACACCTCCGGTCTCTGTCTCAGGAGCGAGCACACCCTGGCTACCCCGGTCTGAATCACTCACGGGACGCTGGTGGGCCGCAAAGCGGCGAGCTAGTCTTCCAATCAGTGACGGGAGGAGGGGAGGCAAGAGGCAACTTCTCATTTGGATTCACCCGAGACAGGGGGTCAGCTGTCTAGGGCTGTCTCAAATCTCGTCCTGGAGACTGGGTTCCCTCCGCGATGCGGGGAAGGGGGTGTCACGGTACCGCCACCGAGGAGAGAAAAGCCGAGCTCCCGAGGACTCCCCACCATGTCCAGCCAGTCCCCAAGGGCCAGGGAGACCCCTGCTCGGGAGACCAAGCCTGAGCGCTCGCTGTCGCTCGAGAGCTGAGGGGACTGTCCCCTCGCAGAGGCCGCCCGACCCTCAGCGCCCAGGCTGGGGAGACGCGTCTAGAGCAACAAGGCCCCGCCACCCTCGGTCACACGGCGCAGCCCCGCAGTGCCCTGGGCCACCCCGCCGCAACCCGGAGCCCGCAGCCCGCCCGGCGTCGGCCCAGCCTTACAGACATCCTTCCCCTCACCGGCTGCCGCAGCCGCTCGCACCCGGCGCCGCCTTCGGGGCCGAAGCTCCTAGTCCGGGTTTCCCTCTCTGACCTCATTTCCGGTCTGGGCCGGAGAGGTGGGGCTGCAACGGTAAGGGAGGGGCGGGCTATAATGGAGGACACACGCCTGCCCTGCACTTCCGCCCTACGGTGAGCCCACTTCCGCTCCGCGGTGGGCGGGCCACCGGGAAACTAGGAAGTGGGTCTGGAGGCCAAGAAGGACAGAATGGAATAGAATGGGGAGAGAAGCCCTTTAGGCCTGATAGAAGACATCTCCCTTACGGTTGCTGACGTTAAGGGAAGTGGGTCACTGGTCTTCGCATTAAGTGACTCAAGACATATGAAAGTGTACGTGGCTTGAGCAAAAAGCAAGTCATGCTGCATTATAACTCAAAGGGCAAAAGAAATACTAATAATCCCATAGTAAGTGAAAACGTTAGTAACGGGAAGACATATGCTCCCCTGAAGCATAACCCGTTTCTCCTCGAGCTGTACATAGCAGCTTCCTTCCGAATAATGGGGTACTGAAAGGTGTAGGGGGAAAGGATCAGCCAAAGAAACACACTTTGGCCCTGCAACCAGAACCAAAGAAATGCACCCTGACCCTGAAACCAGTGCCAAAGAAACACACCTTGTCCCTGGAATCAAAGTCAGTGAAAGAAATACACCCTAGCCAAAAAGGACCAGAGAAAGAAACACACTTTGGTCCTGAAACCAGAACCAAATCTGACCCTAATCCTGTGCAGAAAACTAACCAATCCTCGAGCAGAGCTCTAGCCAATCTGAGTTCAGCACTAATATCTGACCAATCCCCACCCTGGAAGCCCTATATAAACCCTGTGTCTGTTCAGCTTGTGTCTGTTGGTGCTATCCGACTGCCCTCTGCCATTGGGCAGCCACTCTCCTGGATTTTTCCCTCCCAATAAACCCCTTGGATAAGCTTTGGGTGAAGACTTCCTTTTGCGGCGGAACAGAGACGACCCTGGGCAGAACAGACACTTTTGCAGGGGAAACCTTGCCAATGCAGAGTTGTTACACTGTAGCAACTTCACCCGGGAAACCTCCTACCAGAGCAAAACTGCTACAAAGGGCAAACATAAACCTCCTACCAGAGCAAAACTGCTACACTGGGCAAACATCCCCAGGTGGACCACCCTCTCCTGCTGGAGAAGAACCGATACACAGGAGAAGCGTTTCCCTGAGGCTGGGCTGTAAGCTGCTATGCTTACTGTGGCCTGTGGTAGTCCTTGGCTCCCAAGCTCCAGGATACCTTTCCATGTGAGCTGTGTAACACTTAGTATTCTGTGACTCCCGAGTGCCAGGATACCTGTCCCATCCAATCCGCCCAAAATGCCTACAAAAGGGACCTAAAAAGGAGTCACTTTATGGTGAAGAACCTGGCAAGCATTACCCTGGCTAGGATCACAGTTACCATCAACAATTATGTTGATAGCATGAGATTGATGTATAATGTAAATGACACTTTATGATTCCTTCCTTCCAAAACCCATAACCCCAGCCTAATTTCAAGAAAGGAAGGAAGGAAGGGAGAGAGAGAGGAAGGAAATCGGGGAAAGGAAAAGTATTGGTTCAGGACCCCCAAGACCAGGTTCTCAGCACAGAGGGCATTCATTTGCCCCAGAGGGCCAGAGGGCCAGGAATAAGACACAAAGCAAGGAGACAGAGGATGAGGGAGAAGCAGAAGGGAAGAAGGGAAAGGGGCCAGGGATATTTGTCCCATAGGGGCAAAGGACTGTCTCTGGATAGAGAGGAGACAGATAGGCCCATAGGCAAATGGCAGTTTAATTTTGTTTGTTTGTTTGTTTGTTTGTTTTTCAAGACAGCGTTTTCTGTGTAGCTTTGGAGCCTGTCCTGGAACTCACTCTGTAAACCAGGCTGGCCTGGAACTCACAGAGATCTGCCTGCCTCTGCCTCCTGAATGCTGAGATTAAAAGTGTGAACCACCTTTAATTTTAATTGGGCATATTAATTAGCTGAGCCAAAGGGGCCTTTAATTGCTGGACTTGAATACTTTGACAGCTGGGCCTTGGTAGTCAGTCTCAAGTGATGGGAGTAGCCAAAAGGGAAGAGACCTTGGTGACTAGCTTTAGGAATGTAATCTAAGGGATTATAGCAAGGCAGAGGGGATGGGGGAGAAGGACAAGGTCTTCCAGAACCACGTTTGCCACGCTCCAGATGGCCAGAGTCCTTTCAATCAGACTAGCTGTGGTTGAAAACTAGCCTGCAGAATGCCTCAGTAGTATTCCTCAAAGCTGTTAAGGACATCAAAGATAAGGAAAACGTCTAAGAAACTGCCAAAGTTTAGAGGACACACACACACACACACACACACACACACACACACACCACCACCACCACCACCACCACCACCACCACCACCACCACCACCACCACACAAGATTGCCCACCAAAAATTAGGGGAGATGACAAAGATAACAAATTTGGAGCCAGGGTGATACAGAGACTGATTAGCAAGAGAAGTCAAAAAGAGAAATGGGCTGGTGTGAAAATGATTCATTCTGTTTTGGACTTGATGAATTTGTGACTCTCACGGGGCAGGAGATATGGAAATATTCACCAGGTATGCGCAGCCATCAGATCTCTGTTCTGCTCAAGTGAAAATCCTCTCCCACGGGTCTCATCTGTTCCTGTAGTGTCAGTTTCCTCCACCCACACTGAAAGCTCCCAAATGTCTTAAATTCAGCTTTAGTGTCTGCTTTCTGCTAAATGCCATGTGTACACACCCCACCAGCATCTGTAATTGAAGATGTCAAAATGTCACTTAGCTTCTTCCATAGTTCCTATCAAGTCTGTCCCTGTTTGGGGAAGTGTCACTGCCACCAAGGCCCAAGGTCCCAAGCCTCAAAGCATTTCCAGTTCTTGCTTTTCCTCCTCCTTTTCTTTTCCCTTCTCCGCAGCCTGCTGTTCAGCTAAAGCTCAGGTTGCCATTCTTACAGCGTTCTACCACCCCAGTCATCCTTTTTGTTTGCCCTCTGCCCTTGGCAGGTGGTCACTCTGCTGAATGACACAACCGCCTTACTGGTCCTTGCACTTGTCACTCCCCCAGAAAGGCCATCTTTTGCTTGCACCACAGTGAACTTCATAAAACGTGATTGGGATCACGTCACTTCATCCATGGTCTACTGCCTCCTGGGTCACGCTTGAGCACGGCAAACCACTTGCTGCTTCCGGAACACCCTGGGGATTTGGGGGTGATTTAAAGGCTCAGAGCCAAAGTCACCTCCATGAAGACTTCCCCTTGCTTGTCCCCTTCTCTACCCCACTCTCAGCACTTACCAGAATCTTCATTGCAGTGCTCTCTTCCCTCAACTTTGAATTAGAGGCAATTGTGAGCAAGTTTGCCTCCTGCAACTAAATCACTCAGCAAGCAAATATTTAGTGAGTCCCTTCATCCTCCCCGACCCCTGGCTAAGCCCTGGAGATGTGACTATGTAAACAAAATAAAGCCTTCTCCACCTCCATGAAGCTCAACCCTTTTCACCATACTGGTGTGGCTCAGAGCTGTGTACACTGCAAATGCTTGACAGATTCAAAAATCAAATAAGTATTTGTTTACTAAATGCTAACCCAGGAAATTAGAAGCACTTGCCAAAACCCTAAGATAAATTGTTAATGAAAACTACTATCTTTGTGAAAAGAGGAAGCCATGAGCAGAGATTCAGGATAAAAGAGCTAAGGAGGCAGCTTATTTGATAGAGTTGTTGCCTAGCATGCATGGAGTCCCAGGTTCTGTCTCTAGAACCGCATCAAACTGGTTTAGTAGCACAAGACTGAAGGCTCAGGAGGTAGAGGCAGGAGGATTAGAAGTTCACAGTCATCCTTGGCCACATAGAGGCAAGCCTGGGATATTTGAGCCTGTCTCTAGGAAGAGAAAGATGGAGGAGAAAGAGAAGACTGAGGAGAGAGGGAAGGGAGAACAAAGCTAGGGAGAAGGGAGGGGGAGCAGAGACTGTCTCACTGCTCTCCCAGCCTGGTCACAATCACAGCTCTCAGCTGTGTCTGCTGCGCACAGCTGGCTCTGTAAACACTGGATGACTGAATTCTTCATCCTTTCATTGCCGCCATTCTTTTTCTTTTCCCACATTTCCAGCCCCGACCTTCTCTAAACTAATCCCAGACACCCAGGAAATTTTCCAGAAGTTTGTTGTTATTCTCGTTTCCAGCAACCACAGAGGGCAAAAGTGTTAGTGTTTACTTAGAAAACAAGTGATTCCCAGCAATGCGTCCTCCTCCCCTGCCCACGGAACTTTTGTGTCTTCTCCGTATACTTGAAACCTCCCTGGAGGCAGGGACATAGAAACAGAGGGCGTTCATCAGTTCTTGGCAGCAGTGATGACAGACACAGAACTGCCTAATGCATGTCAAGAGAGGTCTGTGTTGTGGTCCAGGATGACAGATATTCACCAAATCCTCCTATGCCACATCACTCATTCTATCTCCCTTTCTTCAACTCTGTTGGATTTTGTGGTTTTGTTAACATAGTATTTACTAACAGCTTCCAAAAGGCAGGCATCATATGAAGGCTTTGGAGTTATTATTTTCTTCAACCCTCTGTTTGAAACATTCCCTCCCTGAGAAAGAAATGGGGCTCCTTAGTACTCAGGAAGTAGAGGAAACTTGCAAGGCTAAGGAAGTACACAAACATTACAAGTGTCAAGAAGAGTCAGGAAGTCCCTTCCTGAGCTTATGTAAGCAATGATATAACTGCTAGAGGAGACTTCTCCCACTGACCTGCAAGATCTTCAAGGAGTTTTAGGAATCCAAATTTGCCTATGCAGAAGTAGGCTTATTTATTATTTATTTTCTTGTTTGTTTTAACAAAGCAGCTGCCTTTGAGTTATCCATGTTCCTGCAAGTAGCCCTTTACCTGGATTTCTGTAAGTAGCCATAATACTCACTGGTTCACTAATCTAGACTTGGGTGGGATTATTTTTTTGGTCTGTGCCCTATCTGAAGTAAATAGACATAGACATTTCTTCACACCTCCCCAATTGGAAAAGTATTCACACCATACCTCTCAATAACCATTTGATATCCGTGGTTTTCCATATTGAGTGACTTAAATACCAGTTTATGTGCTTACAGTTCTGTATGAAGTTAGATGCAGGCCCTTTAGACTGGACTTCTAGCATATGATAAACTATGCCCCATTCTAGAGGCTCTGAAGAAGAGTTCGTGTCCTGAACTTCAACATTGTCACACCTAGCCCATTATGCACCACGAGGAAGGAGAGAGACAATGCTTATGGTTTCAAGATTTTAATTCACCACATAATAGGGTCACTGATACATCAGGGCTGCAGGACGAGGGGAGCCTTGTTTCTCCTGACAGCCTAGAGTATGGCAGAAGTAGGGTTTATAACCATAAAAATCACAAACATTTGTTGCTAAGTTACAGTTATAATTTTGACCAATCAGAAATCAAAGGTGAGGAACTTTGCTTCTGAGTTCCATTTTGTCAACTGACATACAACATAGGCCTTTTTGGTCCAACCAGTCATACTCATTTGTTCTTTCTGTTGTTGGGACCAGCCACAACGTTTCTAGAGAACTAAAGATGCATAAGGACTATTTCTATGGCTTAAGAAGGAGGTGGGTCAGCCTTTGGAAAGTTCTCAGCTCCCCCAGGGCCTGGAAACCTGAACTTTATTTCACACTACAGATAAAATGGAGTCCAAAGTCAAAATGGCAGTACTCATGCCAAGGTGCTTCTTGCCTGCTCCCATCAATTGTCATCTAAAGGCCTCCTACCATCTTTGACTGTGGCTCCTTCCACCAACTTCAAGGGCAAGTACATAGCAACACTTTGGCCTGTGTTCTGTCCTACTCCTAAGCATATCTGCAAGGGGCTGTCTGCTTTTAGGAGCTCAGGAGCCTAGACTGGGCCCACTCAGATATACTACACTGCTGTGCTCCCAAGGCCCTTGACTGGTTGGATTGGGGTGTGTGGGTGGGGTTTTTTTTTGCTTTGTTTTTTGAGATAGGGTCTCACTATGTAGCTCTGGCTGGCCTGGAACTCTTCCTGTAGACTGGGTTGGCCTTGATCCCAGAGAGATCTGCCTGCTTCTTCCTCCCAGGTACTGGGGATTACAAACTTGTGCTACTATAGGCAGCTCAAGGTCCTTAACTTTGATGATGTTAGTAAAAAATTCCTTCTGTTCCTAATACACTGTTTGATATACATGTTACAGATGAAAAAAAACTAGAGTTATGAAGAAACTAAATTTGTCTGAATCCAGACAGCTGGCAAATGATGGAGCCAGGATAGAAATCTAGATCCGTCTGATTCCCCAAGGTTATATAAACTGCATTCATGTATTGCTACTCCACCCTCCCCATCACAGCTGCTCTCAAGAACACCTGCGGTTCCCTTCAAGCACTCTCCCTTCCTTATTCTCAATGGCATTCCCTCATGTTGCTTTGCTAATGCTGTTGTGATAAATACCGGGCAGTTTACCCAATGCAAATTTGTTTTCTCCATTTCTAGAGACTAGAAATCACAGGATTCATTTCCATGGAGACCTTTTTTCCCATTTGCTTGTTTTTGTTTTACTTTCAGTGATGCTAAGCATCATGTGTCGGCAAGCGAGCTGCCTCTGAGCTAAGTCCCGAGCTCAGACAGCCCTCCTTAGCTTGAAAACGGCTATCTTCTGCTGCCTCTTCAGGAGGACATCCTTCTGGGCGTGTGCTCTCCTGATATCTGTATGTGCCCATTTCTTTTTTACCAAGTCATCAGTAAAATTGGATTGGGGTTCATCCTCACAGCTGCATCGAAGTTAGTCACTTCCTTAAGGGCCTATTTCCCCCAAGCACAGCTGCATTCTGAGGGATTAGAGGGATCCAGTGCATCCCATAATATCTCAAGAGTCCATGTGCTCAAAGATTGACTGTCTTCACCCTATTTCAGAGGTTTACCAGTCCCAGTCTCTATGGGATTGTTTCAACATTGGGCACACACCTCAACAACTAGTAACGGGGTGTGAGACTCACAGGAGCTCATAGAAACAGAAGCAGCAATCATGGAGCCTGCATGGGTCTGTACCATGTCCTCTGCATACAAGCTGTGGTTGTTTAGTGTGGAGTTTTTGCGGGACTCCCAATGGTGGGATTGGGGTGTCTCTGACTCTTTCGCCTGCACTTGTGACCCTTTTCCTCCTACTGAGTTGCCGTGTCTGGTCTTGATATGAGGGCCTAGTCTTATTGCATCTTGTTACGCTGTGTTTGGTTGATTTCCTTGGGAGGCCTGATCTTTTCTGAAGGGAAATGAGGAGCAGTGGATCTGGGGGACAGGGGAGGTGGGAGATGAGAACCTGGAGGAATGGAGGGAGAGGAGGCTGCAGTTGACATGTATTGTATGAGACAAGAATAAAGAAAAGGAAAACAAAAGAATCACAGCAGGAGACCATCTCCCCTCTTTTTTCTGAGAATTGAACTGAGCTTTACATCTGGGAATGCCATAGCATCTCACCAACCTCAAGGGAAGCAGAATAGAGGGACAACCTAGATCTCTCATGAGATCTTTGAACACTGGCAGATCCTTTGCAGAATTTTCCATTCCGTCACATACTAACAGTCACATAGTAATATTTAAGCAACTCTGAGTTGTCAGTTTCTGTTACTTGCAGCCCAAAGTCCCTAGCTTTCCCACCTGCTCCTCATTCAGGCCATTCTCTCATACCCACACTATCCTCTTTCTTACCCATCCTAAGGACTGAAAAAATGCTGTCACTTACTTGGACAAAACTCACAACTCCTCTCCTCATGGTCCTCTCTTGATGTCTTTATAGAAATGGCAGCGAAACGTATACCTGACTTTCTGCCCTTGGAGACATACAAATTGCTGTGTCCTTGAAGCTTGTCATGGAAATAAAGCCTGAAGCTCTGTTTGGGAAGTGCTCTCTCACAGTGCTGGAGCCATCTGGACAGGCAATGAGGAGTTAAAGAACCAAGCACAGGTGACTCAACTCTGTTTGCTGGGCTCGTTCTCACACTACCCAAATCAGACATGAGAGCAGAAAGCAGGAGTCCTCAGAGATATGGGCCAAGGCTGTTTAAGATGGAACTCGGGGGTACTTGGACAAAGTGATGAAAGGTTAGCTGGGCCCGGCTTTTTAGATGGGTCAGAAGGGCCTGAGGGAAGGGGAGACTAGCATTCAGGGGCTCTGGTGTGTCATGAACTGCCCCAGAAATACACAGACTATTAAAAAGCACAGTCACCCATCACTTAGCAACAAGGATGTGTTCTGAAGAAATGGGTCCTGAATCAGTTTCATCAAGTGCAAATATTGTGGCGCATGCTTACACAAACCTGGCCGGTGTAGTGCAATCACCTGTGGCCTCCTGGCACAATCAAGGATGCAGTAAACCCAAGCTGTAGGAAGCTGCTGCTGTGTAACACTGCACGCTGTCTTACAGCGACCTGTTCCTGTAAGAGTAAAACATGTGCTCTAAGACAACAACAAAAAGTAAAGTGTAGCTGGGCAGTGGTGGTTCACGCCTTTAATCCCAGCACTTGGGAGGCACAGGCAGGTGGGTCTCTGTGAGTTCCAGGACAGCCTGGTCTGCAGAGTGAGTTCCAGGACTGCCTGGGCTATCACACGGAGACACCTTGTCTTGAGGTGATTCCTATCATTATCAAGTATTACTATATATAATTATTTGACTATTTTATATTTACTCTATGTTCATGTGTGTGTGCTTGTTCATGTGTGTGCAGCTACAAGTGTATGAGTGTGCACAGAGAGGCCAGAGGACAACTGGCCACTTCTTTGAGACACAGTCTCTTATTGGCCCAGAGCTCACCAATCCCAGGGACTCTCCTATCTCCCTTCTCAACCCCTTCCTGGCCTTGCATGTGGGTACCAGGGATGGAACTCAGGTCCTCACACTTGTGAGGCAAGCAGTTTACAGATAGACACCTCCCCAGCCTCTGTCCTATCTTTGTCCGTGGTATACTTCATACAGCCAGCAGTGCCTGGGTGTGTTCATGCCAGCATCACCATGAACACATGAATGATGGTTGTACTACACCATCACAGCAGCTGTAGTGCTGCTAAGTAATAGGAATTTTCAACTTCATTCTAATCTTACAAGTCAACCCTTATATATGTGGTTTATTATTGTTCAAAATATCCTTTTGGTGGGGGGAGGCATGACTGTAATGGTCATCATCATCTTTTGGGCACCTGGATACTTAAACATTAATATGGATTAACTCAATCGTCTAAGGGTTATTCCTCAAGGAAATCATGTATTTGAGTATTATTATTATCTCTATTTTATTACATTTATGTACTTATTCTGTGCATGTCTAGGTCAGAGGACAACTTGAGGGATTTGGTTCTCTCCTTCCATCTTATAGGCTCCAGGGATCAAACTCAGGTCTACAGACTCAGCAACTAGCATCGTCCCTGGTACACAGCAGGACACATATAGATATATTAACTGTTAGGCATATACTGATTCAAAGAAAACTGTGTCTGTTTTATTAATTGATAAGATTGTTTCATTAGTCCCCAAAATAATCCTATAATATAGATCAGTGGTTCTTAACCTTCCTAATGCTGTGACCCTTTTATACAGTTCCTCATGTTGTAGTGACCCCAACCATAAAATTATTTCATTGCTACTTCATAACTGTACTTTTGCTACTGTTATAAGTTGTAATGTAAATACCTGACATGTAGGATATCTGATATGTGACCCTGTGAAAAGGTCGTTTAATTTCCAAAAGGGGCCTCAACCCACATGTTGAGAACCCTTGATCTAAGTGATCCTTACCCAGACATGGAAACTGGGAGTTAGGGCTTCAACATACTAATTTGGGGTACAGGAAAGATGCCCCAGCCCATTACAGATAGATTTAGCCTTTGTTAGATTACTATGTATATCTCCATCTTATATGTTCAGTGGTTGCTTTAAGATTAAGATACATATGCTTATTAGCCTGCCTTCAAGTAATAGCCCTCTTGGTACTTAGTGGAAGAAGTTTATCACAGTATCCCATTACTCCCCAATGTGATGGAGGCATTATGATTTGAAAATGAAATGCCCCTACAGGCGCCTGTGTTAAAAGTCTGTTTGTTCCCCAGCTGGTAATGTGATCTTCAGAGGTTCTGAAACTCTAAGAGGTAGGACCTTGCTGGAGGAAGCAGGCCACTACAGATGGACTCTTGGGACATCTTGTCACTGGTGCCCTCATTCTGTTTCCTGTTCACCCAAAGGTAAACATCTTCTGCCACATGCTCCCACCACCATGACATCCTGTGTCACCACAGGCCCAGAAATAACAGAGTTGACCATGATGGATAAAACCATGAGCCAAAATAAATGATCTCTCCCTTAAGTTATTCCGTCAGCTTCATAAAAGTAACCAGCACAGGGAGTAGCTAGAGAAAAACATGAGGAGTTATTTAAAATCGGTTTGACATGGCCCAGACCCTACATAAATGACAACTGAATGGAACAGAGAAGGGCCTGGAGAGATGACTCTGTGGTTAAGAGCACCGGCTGCAGAGGATCCAGGTTCAACTCCCAGTATCCACACGGTGGCAGGTCACAACCATCTGTAACTCTAGTCCCAGGAGTTCAGTGGCCTCTTCTGACCTCCTTGGGCACCGCATGTATGTGAGGCACAGACATCTGTGCATGCAGAATGCCCCCACACAAAGTTAAATTTTAGAAAAAGAAATGGGGAACTTTGTGTTCATGGACGGTCACGTGGACATACCGTCAGAGGGTCAAAGACTATAACCAAGTGGTGACAAACATCAGTAACTCAACAAGAGCTATCTGTCCAGCTTGTCAACCCTGTGTGACAGGGACATCCTTGTATATGGGGTGTCGTTGGTATGGGGTAGGAAGCAGACCCCTCTGGAATGGGAGGAAGTCTTTGGGTGTATTTTCAGGACAATATCAGCACATTATACAGCCCATTTCAGGGAAGAAGAGGGGGGAGGACTTTGTAGCTACAATAGCTGCTGCTGCTGCTGCTCCCTCTATGGACATAGTGCTGTATTTTAAGTGACATGTTCTGGATCCATCAGTTGACATTTTGTTTCTTCATAAGACACAATTCCCACTGTATATTGCTATTTTTTCCTCTAGTCACTCTATGTTATTGCCTAAATATTTTAAATATAATATTTTAAAGTCACACAATTATTATCATCTTTGGTGATTTTTATTCCCTTATTGTAGATTTAAAGCTGAATCTTGATGCTGCAACGATAAACAGCACATTTATTGAGAGTATAGGTAACTGTTTATTATAGAAATTACTCACAAGAGAAAAACAAGCAACCCAGATGAGCCAAGTATTTTTCCGCCACCAAACTGGAAGCAGGTTCTGCTGCTCAGTCTTTTATTCCTTCCTCTGTACACGCCCCTAGCCATGCCCAAAGTGGACCTGGCTAGTGACGTAATTTACCGCCTATGTCTGTATACTTCTTTAGTCATGCCTAAAGTGGGTGTGGTTAGCGGTTCGGTAAACCGCCCTTTTATTACCTCATCTGTATTTGCCTCTAATACATCACATGGCTAATGACAGAGTACTAAGTTTCACCCTACAGAATCTATAATGTCGTTTCTGTCTGTAATATTTTCTTGAGTATTTCCTATTATTCTGGAATGTTGGTGATGATTCGTTCAGATCTGATTTCTCTGAAAAAGTCTTTACATTTTCATTTCTGGAAAATGGTCTTTGATTGGTGGAGAATCTTGGAACAATGTTTATTGTTATTATTATTATTAATTATTGGTGTTTTTGAGACAGGAATTCTCTGTGTAGCCCTGGCTGTCCTGGAATTCACTCTGTAGATGAGGCTGGCCTGGAACTCAGATATCCGCCTGCCTCTGCCACCCAAGTGCTGGAACAAAAGGCATGTGCCACCACCTCCTGGCTTGTTTATTCTTTTTTAAAGTGTTGCTTCACTGCCTATTGGCTTACATCATTAAAAGACTCAATCTGCCATCCTTCTTGTCTTTCTTCGTCCGTGCATGGTGTGTCTTTGTACTCACGTTGCTGTTAAGATTGCTTATAACTGGCTTTTAAACAAGGTGCTTTTAGATTTATGTTATGTGTATGGGTGTTTTGCTGCACAATATACATGTGTACCACATGAGAACCTGGTGCCCGTGAGCTCAAAAGTGGGTATTGGTGAACCAGGCTTTTTCTTTTAGGCCACCAACCAGATCCCAAAGCACAACACAGACTTCTTACTAGTTTTGAATGCCCAGTCTAGCTTAGACATGTTTCTGGCTAGCTCCTTTAACTTAGCCTGTTTCTCTTTACCTACCTTTTGCCTCTGGACTTCTTGACTTTCTTACTTCTGTGTATCTTTCACTGCTTCTCTATGTGTAGCTGATTGACATTTGCCTGGCTTCTTGCCCAGGTATTTCTTGTTCTCTCTCCTTCTTTTCCCCTTCTTCCTTTCCTTTTTGAGCCTAGAATTCGCTTCCTATTTATTCTCTGCCTGGCAGCCCCACCTAGCTTTTCTCTTGCCTAGCTATTGGCTGTTCAGCTCTTTATTCTCTTTATTAGACCAGGCTGTTCAGCTCTTTATTAGACCAGTCAAGTGCCTTAATCAGTCCAAGTGAAACAGATGCAACATATCTTTACATAATTAAACACATATCCTTATGTCTTTAAACAAATACTGCAGAAACAAAACAGCTTTACACAGTTAAAGTAGTATTCTGTAGCATAAACAAATGTAACACATCGTTGCCTAGTTAAAACAATATTCCACAGCATATTGGTTCTCTGGAACTGGAGATACAGGCAATTGTGAACCACCATCTAGATGCTGGGAACTGAACCAGGTCCTTATTCTCTGCAAGAGTAACAAGTGCTCTTACCTGCTGAGCCATCTCTCTAGCCTTTAAAAATTCTGATGCCTTCGTGTCATTTTTATCATGTTTCTTGTCTTTGAAGTGATAGGGCTCCTTATATCTCTGGATTTTTAGTTTTTATTAACTTTAGAAAACTTTTTGTTGTTGTTGTTTTGGTTTTTTGAGGCAGGGTTTCTCTGTAGCTTTGAGCCTGTAGACGAGGCTGGCCTTGAACTCACATCTGCCTGTCTCTGCTTCCCAAGTGCTGGGATTAAGGGCATGCACCACCACCGCACCACTAACTTTTAGTGGTGACTTTTTAAAAGTATTTTTCTCCTCCCATTTCTCATATACTTCTGAAACTCAAATTACAGATATCTCCTGACTTGTAATAGCTCAATCTTCAACTTCTTTTATTTTGCAGTGGTGTTTAAAAGTATCCATATAACTGTTCTGGTTATATGTTAAGTACAGTGGTCAATAAATAACATGAGATAGTTGATACTTTACTACACAGTGGACTTTGTGTTGGATGTTTTTCCTGGATTGTAGGGTCAGGTAAGTATTCTGAGTATGTTTGGATAGGCTAATCTATGGCGTTCAGCAGGTTAGGGATGTTAATTGTATTTTAGACTTGTATTTTCAAATTATTATGGGTTTGTTGGGATGTAAGTCCACCTGAAGTAAAATCTGCACACATATTTGAGGTAACTTTAAGTTCTTCTTTTCATTTCTTGATTTTTGTTGTTGTTGGTGGTGGTGGTGTGAGGAGGAGGAGGGGATTGAAACAGGGTCTCTCTATGTAGACTTGGCTGTCTTGTAACTATGTAGACCATAGACCAGGCTGGCCTTGAACTCACAGAAATCCACCTGCCTCTGCCTTCTAAGTGCTGGCATTACATGTGTGCACTACTTTACCCAACTCTTCTAAGTTTTAAAAATATTTATTTTATTATTTTTGTGTGCATGCGTGTGGGCCTGAAAGCATGTATGTGTTCGCCATTGGTGCAAGAGCCTACAGACTCCAGGAGAGAATGACAGACGCCCTGGAGTTGGAGTTACAGACAGGCAGTCGTAGACCAACTGATGTGATTCTGGGAACCAAGCCCAGGTCCTCTGCGGGAGGAGCAGTGCTCTTAACCATGGAGCCACCCCTCAGCCTCTCTCTTTCTTCCTCCGCTCTACCCTGCCTTCTTTATTTCTTTTTTTTAATCTTTCCCTTTTATTTTTGGCCTTTTATTTTAGGTAACTCATGTTGCTGTTTTCAAAGTCAGTCATCCTTTTCATCCGCAAGATCAAACAGGCTATTTATCCGATCCAATGTATTTTTTCATCTCAGATGTTGTGTTTACATTGAAGCTGGATTTAAAATCTATTTTTCTTCTTTTTTTTCTGTGGTCTCTAGCACCATTTTTCTATTAACTTCTTAACTGCAGTTCTTCCTTAATATATTCAATGTCTCCCCTTAATGTGTTCATGTTTTTCTTACCTTGTTAAACATATGGATTATTTTGTTTGTTTCCTTCATTTTTACAGTGTTTAATTTTATTCAGCTTCCTACTAGTCTACTAATAGACCATTATTCTTGCCACTAATTCTGTCCTTTAGCAATGTTGGGTTCTGTTTTGTTGATTAATTTTCTTTATACTATAATCATGATTTTTATTTTCCCCAACAATGATGGATACTGAAAATATTTGCCTTCCTCTATTGTGATAGGGAAGTAGCATTTCTTGCTAGTCCATTAGCATCCCTGTTGGCCAGCTTTCACAACTAAAGGACAGGTTGGAGGCCTGGAGAGATGGCTCAGCTGTAAAGAGCACTGACTGCTCTTCCAGCACCCACACAGAGGCTCACAGCTGTCTGTAACTCCAGTTCTAGATGTTCTGATGCCCTCTTCTGACTTCTCTGGCACATACGTGAAGCATACAATTAAAAAATGTTTTTTAAAAGAAGGAGGAGAGCTCAGGTCACACACAAGCCTGACAACCTGGATTTTGATCCTCAGGACCCACTTAAAAGCTGGATGCAGTAGCAGAAACATCTGTAATTACAGCAGGCAGAGATTAGAGAATCTCCAGATGCTCTCAGAGAGGCCAGCCTGGCTTGTACAGCATCAAAGAGACAGGAAGTTGTGGACCAGCACCTAAAGGTTATCCTTTGACCTTCACACATGTGCTGAGGTGCACATACCCTGATTCATACTCATGAATACACACGAATACATTCACATATCTAACAAGCATATACATAGTAACTTGTTTGTTTTATTGTTGTTATTGCTTTTTTTGACCATCCTGGAACTCGCTCCAAAGACCTCAAACTCAAAGAGCTGCCTGCCTCTGCCTCCTGAGTGCTGGGATTAAGGGCACCACCTGTCTAATAATTTTAATTTAAACATGAAGGAAGTGTTATGTTGGTTCCCAGCTTCCTTGACTTGCTTGGCTCTGCGGTTCGCAGGCTTGGGGGAGGCAGAGCATCCTTCAAAGAGAGTACGATGGCACCAGGAAGCAG